TGCACTCCAGCCTGGGTAACAAGAGCGAAACTCCGTCTCAAAAACAAAACAAAACAAAACAAAAAACAAATCTCGCAGCACATTCAGCATTAATCATTAGGTCAGCCTACTCTGTGACATGCTTTCATGTAGTCATTTCGTGCCTGTTGTCCTATAATCACATAGACCCTTGAGTATAGTTGCCTATAACTCATCTATAGATAACAACTTGAATGTTATGAAGCGTTAAGCTTTCCCTTTGAGATATGCCTTCAGGTCCTGTATAATGATCAGACTACTGACTCAGCTGGTCTGAAGGACCCTGACCACACCAAAGAATGCAGTTTCCACATCCTGATGACTTCATCCCCTTTGCCCTGGCCAATCAAGTACCCAGATTTTCCAGCCCCTCACCCTTTATGGTCCCCTTCAAAACCCCAGATGGATTTGAGGGTCTCCTCCCGTCTCCTCATTTGGTGTCTGGCAATAATTAAACTATCTGCTGCGTCTCTGCTGTCTCAGTGTAATTGGTCTGTTACTGTGCAGCCAGCATACAAACCTGTGGTCCTGTAACAGGCTTAAATTAGTGAACAAGTGAGAACTGGTGCCCACCCCGACCCTGCCCTCTGGTGGCTGCCAGTCTGCAACTGTCGTGTCTGATCCCTCCTCAGCTCATGCAGGAGCTGGGGTCCACCAAAGACTGCAGCACTGAGCTTTTGTAATCACATGCTATACAGAAGCCCCTGAGAGGGTTATAGCCCAGATTTCAAATGTGGCTTGTCCAATTTACATATTTTAATTTTAAAATCAACATAATTCTAGAAAATACAAATTTGAAAAAGGGGAAATATGTATCACATGTAATTTCATCACTGAAGACTTTCCCTAGGGACACCACTTCCAAAGCTGAGACTTAATATCTATTAAGCTCTCTCTAGGACCATTTTTAGCAGGAGCGTGAAAGAATCCTTAGCAAGTTTAGATAGACAGGAAAATCCATGTAAGCAGGGACTAAGGATCACTCATAGTATCCGGAGATATATGTCTTATACTTTAGGAAAACAGTCTGTTGCATGGCAAGAGTGGTGTCATCTTGAAGCAAAATTGCCATAACCAATGGTTGACTCCTGCATACCAAGGTGTCCTGCACCAAGGTCTTTACACAATGTCTGTGGCACAGATAACCCCTAATAAAGATGCTTACCTAAATTCCCTAGCAGTCATGAATTTTGCAAGCATGTCTGAGATGTTTTACCAAAAAATCTTACTACATAAATGATACTTTCTGGAGGACAGGTGTGGAGATCCACTCTTTCCAGGCCACCCAAAACATCACTTTTTCTCTTTGTAAATTCCTATTAAATGTTTATTTCTGAGAAACTGGATTTGTTAGCCTCTTTCTTCAGCCTTTCAGCTTTTGGGGGTAGGTTTGTATAGATCTGCTCATGATGGAATACTTGGCAATCTCAGTTGAGGGACCAAGAAATGGGTGGGGAAAACCTTAGAGTGGCAGTCACTTCTATGTGCAGTGTTGTGGCTCACTTTTCAGACACTTGTGGACCATCTCATGAGTTATGGGGACTCCCTGAAAATGCCGGTGGGTTTAGAGGAATTGGTAGTGGAGAGCCATTTATCACATTGTGGTAAGGAAGGGTAGCGAGCAATACTGCACTGTGACAGCCCAGCTAGCAGCAGAAGTTAATGTAAAATGGCTTCAGGAGGAATTATAATTAGAAAAAAGATCTTTTTAAAGGAGCTCTATGGTCAGAAGCCAGCTTAATTAAAAGCTGAGATTCAGGCTATCATCTATTTTGCAGTGGTGGTGAGGGTCATGGGGGGTGGGGGGAAGGCCTGTCTGCTTATTTCTGTTTTGAATCCTGTTTCTGGGAATTTTTTTTTCAGTCAATTAAAACACCCTCCACCTTTTTTATATCACATATTTGGCCTCTCTGGTTTGATGTCGGCATGACTTTCGCCTTTTATAAACCTTAAGAACTCCTCAGTCTGGCTCCTGTAAGACTTGTTCTTCCATTTCCATCTACTTCTGCTTCTCCTTCCCTTTGCTGTTTTTGATACCACATGCAGAAATCTAGAGACTTTTAGCAGCCCTGCAACCCTTTGAAGAACACAGAAAAAGACATCACACATTCCCTTCTGGGAGTCCTCTGCTTTCCTTGTAGAATCCCGAGTTATAAGAAGGTTTTTCTCAAGTGTAAAGTTCTGCTCTCTTTTGCATTGAGTTCCAGATCCCTGTAGCTTTGGGGGATATCAGGAATTATAATTATTTTACTGGGAATTATTTTGTACTATGAGAGAACAGGACCCATGGGTGTCTAGTGGTTGACAAGACCCTGGTAAGGGCTGAAGTTTTGGAGATGGCTGACGGTGTTTGCAATGAGTGGTTAATACTGTAGGGAGCTATTCACTTTATGTGTTTAAATAAGAAAAACATGGTTTGGACACCTAGAAGCCATGGAAACACTTGTCACTGAGAGATAAGACTCCTATGGAGAATGGGCTGATTGGTGATAGGTCACTCAGCCTCAGGGGAGTGTAGTTGCTGTAAGGTGCACTGTGGAAGCATTGCTCTGTCCCATCCCATGGTGTTTCCCTCTTTTGGGGGACCAAGGATTCTGTTTAAAATGGAATCCCTGATTTTGGAAAATCTAAGTGTTTTGCCTTCTTAGGGCCTGGAAACTGCAAGTGCCTTCTTGGCCCTGCTTAGTGGGCTCCACCCTGAGCTTAGTTGTCCAGTTGGAAATGGAGATTCAGTTTGAAGGTTCCTATCTAAATGAAATTAGTTTCGTTATAAAATGCTATGGGAAATTCCTATGATTTTGTGTTACTTTGGCATCCATTTTTTACCTTCCTGTAACACATTCAGGCTCCTTTTTAAAAAGCTTAAATGCTGGGTGCAGTGGCTCATGCCTGTAATCACAGCACTTTGGGAGGCCGAGGCAGGTGGATCACCTGAAGTCAAGAGTTGGAGACCAGCCTGGCCAGCATGGTGAAACCCTGTCTGTACTAAAAATATAAAAATTAGCCTGGTGGTGTGGCAGGCACCTGTAATCCTAGCTACTTGCGAAGCTGAGGCAGGAGAATTGCTTGAATCCAGGAGGTGGAGGTTGCAGTGAGCTGAGATCATGCCACTGCATTCCAGCCTGGCTGAGACTTCATCTAAAAAAAAAAAAAAAAAAAAAACCCAAAAAAATTAGGGCCCAGGAAAGGCCAAGAGAAACATATTATGCTAATTTGGTACGTTAAAATCATACAGGAAACATTGTCAAATAAGAATTGGTGTCTAGGCTGGGCATGGTAGCTCATGCCTGTAACCCCAGCACTTTGGTAGGCCAAGGTAAGTGTATCACCTGAGGTTAGGAGTTTGAGACCAGCCTGGCCAACATGGTGAAACCTCATCTTTAGTAAAAATATTAAAATTAGATGTGGTGGCACATGCCTGTCATCTCAGCTGCTCGAAAGGCTGAGATGGAAGAATTGCTTGAACCTGAAAGGCATAGGTTGCAGAGCAAGACTTTGTTTCTAAAAATAAAAATAAAAAATAAATGGTGTTTAATTTTTTTTTAATGGGCAACACAAATAAGTTTTTTATGTATATTTTTATTATACTTTAAGTTCTGGGGTACATGTGCAGAACATGCAGGTTTGTTGCATAGGTATATATGTTCCAAGTCTTTGCTATCGTGAACAGTGCCACAATAAACATACATGTGCATGTATCTTTATAATAGAGTGATTTATAATCCTTTGGGTATATACCAAGTAATGGGATTGCTGGGTCAAATGGTATTTCTAGTTCTAGATCACTGAGGAATAGCCACACTGTCTTCGACAATGGTTGAATTAATTTACACTCCCACCAGCAGTGTAAAAGTGTTCCTATTTCTCCGCATCCTCTCCAGAATCTGTTGTCTCATTTTTTTAAGATCGCTGTTCGAACTGGCGTGAGAAGGTATCTCAATGTGGTTTTGATTTGCATTTCTTTAATGACAGTGATGATGAGCTTTTTTTCATGTTTGTTTGCTGCATAAATGTGTTCTTTGAAAAGTGTCTGTTCATATCCTTCACCCTCTTTTTGGTGAGTTTTGTTTTTGTTTTTGTTTTTTTGTAAATTTGTTTAAGTTCTTTGTAGATGCTGGATGTTATTAGCCCTTTGTCAGATGGGTAGATTGCAATTTTTTCCCCCATTCTATTAGTTTCCGGTTCACTCTAATGAAAGTTTCTTTTGCTGTGCAGAAGCTCTTTAGTTTAATTAGATCCCATTTATCAATGTTGACTTTTATTGCCATTGCTTTTGGTGTGTTAGTCATGAAGTCCTTGCCCATGCCTATGTCCTGAATGATACTGCCTAGGTTTTCTTTTAGGGTTTTTATGGTGTTAGGTCTTATGTTTAAATCTTTAATCCATCTGGAGTTAAGTTTTATATAAGGTGTAAGGAAGGATCCTGCTTTAGCTTTCTGCATATGGCTAGCCAGTTTTCCCAGCACCATTTATTAAACATGGAATCCTTTTCCCATTGCTTGTTTTTGTCAGGTTTGTCATAGATCAGATGGTTGTGGATGTGTGGTGTTATTTCTGAGGCTTATATTCTGGTCCACTGGTCTATATCTTTGTTTTGGTACCAGTACTATGCCGTTTTTTTTTTGTTTGTTTGTTTTTGTTTTTTACAAATCACAGCAAATTTATTACTCAATATCCAGTGCCACATTATAGCACCACCTGGAGCCCTCACCTTCCCCCACAACCTGGCCCCAAGGGTACACCCATACAGAAATAAAAGGAAACCCAGATCCCTGCTCCTCCTCTGGAAGAGGGGGCCTTGGCCAGGAAGCCCCTTCCAGAAGTCCCAGCAGGCAGAAGAGTGGACCCCTCTGTGCCCAGAGAGCAAGGCTCCAGGCTCCAAAAACAGACAGAACATGCAGGCAGGAGCAGAAGCAGAGGCCTGTGGCTGTAGGGGAGGAAGAGTGGGAGGAAAGGGCCCTGCCTGAGGAGTCCGGGAGTCTGGTCATCCCGGGGATGCACACAGGAGCTTCCAGGCATCAGGGGCCTGCCCCTAGCTGGTTAGCGCTTTGACAACTTGTGGGACAGCCAGTCCAGACCATCGTACAGACCTGTGCCTTGGGTGGCACAGGTGGCCTGGACATACCATGTGTGGCTGCACAAGTGCTGTAGCCCCAGCTTGTCAGTCAGCTCACTCGTGGGCATGGCATTGGGCATGTCCTGCTTATTGGCAAACACCAGTCGCACCGCATCCCGCAGCTCATCCTCCTGCAGCATCTTCTGGAGTTCATCAGCAGATTCTTGGACCCGCTCCCGGTCATTACTGTCCATCACAAAGATGAGGCCCTGAGTGTTCTGGAAGTAGTGCCACCACAGAGGCCAAATCTTGTCCTGGCCTCTCACGTCCCAGACTGTGAAACAAATGTTCTTATATTCCACTGTTTCTACATTGAAGCCTATGGTTGGGATGGTGGTGACAATCTCCCCCCAACTTCAGTTTGTACAGGATTGTGGCCTTGCCAGCTGCATCCAAGCCAACCATGAGAATCTGCATCTGCTTCTTTCCGAAGATTCGTGAAAAGAGTGTGGACAGAGTGAGGCCCATGGTGGGGACTGCAGGAACTGGCTGGCTGTGGGGGGATGGGGCGCAGCAGCAACAGGATGCCCCGCCGCCACCTGTGCGTGTTGCTGCCCTACCATGCCATTTTGATTATGGTAGCCTTGTGGTATAGTTTGAAGTCAGGTAGTGTCATGCCGCCAGCTTTTTTTTTTTTTTTTTTTTTTTTTTTTGGCTTAAGATTATCTTGGCTATGTTGGCTCTTTTATGGTTCCATATGAAGCTTTAAGGTGGTTTTTTTCCAATTCTGTGAAGAAAGTCAGTGGTAGCTTGATGGGGATAGCATTGAATCTATAAATTACTTTGGGCAGTATGGCCATTTTCACAATATTGATTCTACCTAACCATGAGCATGGAATGTTTTTCCATCTGTTTGTGTCCTCTCTTATTTCCTTAAGCATTGGTTTGTAGTTCTCCTTGAAGAGTTCCTTCACATTCCTTGTTAGTTGTATTCCTAGGTATTTTATTCTCTTTGTAGCAATTTTGGTTGGGAGTTCACTCATGATTTGGCTCTCTGTTTGTCTGTTATTGGTGCATAGGAATGCTTGTGATTTTTGCACTTTGGTTTTGTATCCTGAGACTTTGCTGAAGTTGCTTATCAGCTTAAGGAGATTCTGGGCTATGACGATGGGGTCTTCTAAATATACAATCATGTCGTCTGCAAATAGAGACAATTTGACTTCCTTTTTTTCCTAATTAAATACCGTTTATTTCTTTTTCTTGCCTGATTGCCCTGACCAGAACTTCTAATACTATGTTGAGTAGGAGTGGTGAGAGAGGGCATCCTTGTCTTGTGCCAGTTTTCAAACTGTTTTTGCCTATTCAGTATGATATTGGCTATGGGTTTGTCATAAATAGCTTTTATTATTTTGAGATACTTTCCATTGATACCTAGTTTATTGAGTTTTTAGCATAAAGGGCTGTTGAATTTTGTCAAAGGTCTTCTCTACATCTATTGAGATAATCATGTGGTTTTTGTCTTTGGTTCTGTTTATGTGATTGATTACATATATAGATTTGTGTATGTTGAAGCGGCCTTGCCTCCCGTTGATGAAGCCAACTTGATTGTGATGGATAAACTTTTTGTTGTGCTGTTGTATTAGGTTTGCCAGTATTTTACTGAGAATTTTTGCATCTATGTTCATCATGGATAATGGCCTTAAATTTTCTTTTTTAGTTGTGTCTCTGCCAGGTTTTGTTATCAGGATGCTGTTGGTCTTATAAAATGAGTTAGGGAGGATTCCCTCTTTTTGTATTGTTTGGAATAGTTTTAGAAGAAACGGTACCAGTTCCTCTTTGTACCTCTGGTAGAATTCAGCTGTAAACCCTTCTGGTCCTGGACTGTTTTTGGTTGGTAGACTATTAATGGCTGCCTCAATTTCAGACCTTGTTATTGGTCTATTCAGGGATTCAACGTATCCCTGGTTTAGTCTTGGAAGGGTGTAAGTATCCAGGAATTTATCCATCTCTTCTAGATTTACTGGTTTATTTGCATAGAGTTGTTTATAGTAATCTCTGATGGTACTTTGCATTTCCATGGGATCAGTAGTGATATCCCCTTTCTCATTTTTTATTGCATCTATTTGATTCTTCTCTGTTTTCTTTCTTATTAGTCTGGCTAGTGGTCTCTCTGTTTTGTTTATCTTTTCCAAAAAACCAGCTCCTGGATTTATTGATATTTTGAAGGAATTTTTTGTGTCTCCATCTCATTCAGTTCTGCTCTGATCTTAGTTATTTCTTGTCTTCTGCTAGCTTTTGAATTTCTTTTGATCTTTCTCCTCTAGTTTTTTAATCATGTTTCTAGGGTGTCTATTTCAGATGTTTCCTCACTTCTCTTACGGGCATTTACTGCTATAAATTTCCCTCAAGACAATGCTTTAAATGTGTCCCAGAGATTCCATTACATTGCGTCTTTGTTCTGAAGAACATCTTTCTTTTGAAGAACATCTTTATTTCTGCCTTCATTTCATTATTTAGCCAGTAGTCATTCAGGAGCAGGTTGTTCAGTTTCTATGTAGTTGTTTGGTTTTGAGTGAGTTTCCTTTTTTTTTTTTTTTTTTTGAGACGGAGTTTCGCTCTTGTTACCCAGGCTGGAGTGCAATGGCGCGATCTCGGCTCACTGCAACCTCCGCCTCCTGGGTTCGGGCAATTCCCCTGACTCAGCCTCCTCAGTAGCTGGGATTACAGGCACGAGCCACCATGCCCAGCTAATTTTTTGTATTTTTAGTAGAGACGGGGTTTCACCATGTGGACCAGGATGGTCTCGATCTCTCGACCTCGTGATCCACCCGCTTCGGCCTCCGAAAGTGCTGGGATTACAGGCTTGAGCCACCGCGCCCGGCCTTGAGTGAGTTTCTTAATCCTGAGTTCTAATTTGATAGCACTGTGGTCTGAGAGACTGTTTGTTATGATTTCCATTCTTTTGCATTTGCTGAGGAGTGTTTTATTTCCAATTATGTGGTCAATTTTAGAATAAGTACAATGTGGTGCTGAGAAGTATGTATATTCTGTGGATTTGGGATGGAGAGTTCTGTAGATATCTATTAGGTCTGTTTGGTCCAGATCTGAATTCAAGTCCTGAATATCCTTGTTAATTTTCTGTCTCATTGATCTGTCTAATATTGACAGTGGAGTGTTAAAGTCTCCCACTGTTATCATCTGGGAGTATAAGTCTCTTCATAGGCCGTTAAGAACTTGCTTTTGTATCTGGATGCTCCTGTATTGGATGCATATATATTTAGGATCATTACATTTTCTTGTTGCATTGATCCTTTTACCATTATGTAATACCCTTTGTCTCTTTTGATCTTTTTGGTTTAAAGTCTGTTTTATCAGAGACTAGGATTGTAGCCTTTGCTTTTTTTTTCCTCTCCATTTGCTTGGTAAATCTTTCTCCATCCCTTTATTTTGAGCCTATGTGTGTCTTTCCTTGTGAGATGGATCTCCTGAATAGAGCACACTGATGGGTCTGGACTGTTTATCCAATTTGCCAGTCTGTGTCTTTTGATTGGGGCATTTATCCTATTTACATTTAAGGTTAATACTGTTATGTGTGAATTTGATTCTGCCATTTTGATGCTAGCTGGTTGTTTTGCCCGTTAGTCTATGCGGTTTCTTCATAGTGTCAATGGTCTTTACAATTTGGTATGTTTTTGTTGTTCCTTTCCATGTTTACTGCTTCCCTCAGGAGCTGTTGTAAGGCAGGCCTGGTAGTAGCAGATCTCTCAGCATTTGCTTTTCCATAAAGGATTTTATTTCTCCTGTGCTTATGAAGCTTAGTTTGTGCTGTGTTTTTTAGCTCCATCAAGTTGTTTATGTTCTTCTGTATGATGATTATTCTAGTCAGCATTTTGTCTAACCTTTTTTCAAGGTTCTTAGTTTCCTTGCATTGGGTTAGAACATGCTCCTTTAGCTCAGAGAAATTTGTTATTACTCACTTTCTGAAACCTTTTTCTGTCAATCCATCAAACTCATTCTTCATCCAGCCTTGTTCCCTTGCTGGCGAGGAGTTGCGATCCCTTGGAGGAGAAGAGGTATTCTAGTTTTTGACAATTTCAGCCTTTTTGTGCTGATTTCTTTCCATCTTCATGAATTTATCTACCTTTGGTCTTTGTAGTTGGTGACTTTTGGATCGGGTCTCTGAGTGGATGTCCTTTCTGTTGATGTTAAAGCTATTTCTTTTTGTTTGTTAATTTTCCCTCTAACAGTCAGGACCCTCTGCTGCAGGTCTGCTGGAGTTTGCTGGAGGTCCACTCCAGATCCTGTTTGCCTGGGAATCACCCAAGGGGGCTGCAGAACAGCAAAGACTGCTTCATGTTCCTTCCTCTGGTAGCCTTGTCCCAGAAGGGTACCTGCCAGATGTTAGCCTGAACTCTCCTGTATGAGATGTCTCCTAGTGAGGATACATGGGAGTCAGGAAGCCACTTGAGGAGGCAGTCTGTCCCTTATCAGAGCTCACACACTGTGCTGGGAGATTTGTTGCTCCATTCTGAGCTGCCAGGCAGGAACATTTAGGTCTGCTGAAGCAGAACCCACAACTGCTCCTTTTCCCAGGTGCTCTGTCTCAGGAAGTTGGGGGTTTATTTATAAGTCCTTGATGGGCTGCTGCCTTTTTTCAGAGATGACTTGCCCAGCAAGAAGTGAGTCTAGCTGACAGTCTGCCTGCAGAGGCATTGCAGAGCTGCTGTGTGCTCTACCCAGTTGCTGTGTAAACTTCCCAGTGACTTTGTTAACACAGGTGAGGTTAAAACCGCTTACCAGAGCCTGAGCAATGGTGGATGCTCCTCTTCCTACAGAGCTCAAATGTTCCAGGTCAAGCTTAGGCTGCTGTGCTGGCTTTGAGGATTTCAAGCCAGTGGATTTTAGCTTGCTGGTCTTCGTGGGGGTGGACCTGCTGAGTCAGATCACTTGGCTCCCTGGCTTCAGCCCCCTTTTTCAGGAGAATGAGTGGTTCTGTCTTGCTGGTGTTCCAGGTGCCACCGGGTATGAGAAAAAAACTGCTGCAGCTAAAACAGCCACCCAGTTTTGTGCTGGAAACTTGGGGCACTGGTGGTGTAGGCACTGGAGGGAATCGCCTGGTCTTTGGGTGTGAAGACAATGGGAAAAGCACAGTATCTGATCCAGAGTGCCAGAGTGTTGGGAAACATCCCCAACGGCTTCTCTTGGCTAGGAGAAGGAGTTCTCTGGCCTCTTTCATTTCCCAGGTGAGGTGATGCCCCACACTGCTTTGGTTTGCCCTTCTTGGGATGCACCTACTGTCTAAACAGTCCCAGTGAAATTAACCTGGTACTTCAGTTGGAAATGCAGAGATCACTTGCCTTCTGAATCGCTTTTGTTGGGTGGGAACTGCATACTGGAGCCATTCCTATTTAGCCATTTTGGCAGAAGCTTCTAGTGTTTAACTTACTTTGCCTTATATTTGTAGGATGCTTTATTAATATGTGCTCCAAAATTATATGAGGTTCCAAAAAATCTCATATATCTTGACA